AACTCTATTGAAGAAGGCCCATATTTTAGGGAAGTCAACATAGAACAACCAATATCAAAATGTCTACTAAGAAAATGATTGGACCCTAAATAAAAAGAAAAACATCATTTGGCCATCTAGGAATCATCATCTCCTCAACTGTAACAAAACAAAAATGAATTAAAAGGTTACTGAGTAGGGAAGTAAATTACATTTTTCTAGAGTTTAAATCATGATGGTTTCTGTCAGAGATTAATGCAGTAACAAATTTTAGAGACTAAAGGGAAATAAAAGGGATAGTCAAGAATTTTACACCTACTTAAAACAACCTCTTAATATAAAATTTACAGACCAGCTGTTATGAATATGCAATAAAAAATTCAAGGAATATTCTTCCCATGAACACTTCTCAAAGGCTTTATTTGTGGCCATGCATGTGACAAATAGAATAGCTAAAAAGATGTTAAAAACTAAAACAGAAATAAAACCTGACACTATGTTGTATAAAAAGGGCATACTCAAAGCAAAGAGATTCAGAAAGCTTAACAATGTATCCAGTAATAAAAATATAAAAACAACAGGTTTACAGATTTGTCTCCTTATGTAGCAAAAATCATACCAAAATGCACTATAAGTGACCGAGACAAGGCATAAACAAAGGATAAGGTTTCAATGGAAACAGCTTAAAATGGACCCAGTGACTGATTAACAATTCTCATACACTGAAAAACTTTAGAAGCTTCCAGAAGAAGTACACAGGACCACACAAAGATTGCACCCAAACTTTAAACATGGAATATTAGTAATCAAAATATATAAGAATGATAATACACCACAACCATATGAGATTTTCTGGAAAGGAGATTCAATATTAAGACATTTATTATTATAATACATCATATTTATGTAGGAAAAAGATAATTTATATACATCCAGAAAATATTAAAATAGTTGAAAAATTTAACACTCATTCACAATAAAATAGAAATTAATGACTACTTCCTTGAATAGAGAGGATAGGTAGACATATCCAGCAAGTAGAAAAGTAGCTTTTTAATTAGTAGAGAAATACCCAAACCTTTTCCGATGAGGGCAGAAACAAATGAAGGATGCCCACTATAATCACTATTATCCAATAATATATGGGAGGTATTAGCCAATACACAAATAAATAAAACAGCACTAAGTAAAAAAGTACTAGTACATAAGATTTAAATAGCATCAGTTCTTACAAATGATATAACTATATCTGGAAAAACGAAGAATGAGGGAAAACACTTGCAAAAAGTTATAGTTGTAAAATAAGCCTTTACAAATCAATAGCTTTTATCTCCATCTCAAAAGAAAATTCAAGTACACACACATATGTATCATACACATATGCATTTTTGTATATATACAATTCTTGTACACATAACAAGAATAGTTCAAAATTCATATGAAGAACACTATGAATGCTCCTGAAAGATATAAATGTTGACCTGAGTAACTAGAAAACATAGCTTTTTCTTGGATTGGAAAATTTAATATCAAAACAATAAATTAAATGACAATAATAATACATCCATTTTTTTCCTTGAGCAAGACAAGTTCATTATAATGTCTACTTGAAAGTGAAAAGAAACAAAATATAACTTTTGGAATTATTTTAAAAAAGAAATGATATTGGGTATGGTGTTAGCCCTATTCCCTAGAAGAGCATATTAAAACCATCCATGTTGAAAAAAAAAAAAAAGCAGTATTTAGGAAAGAATAGAAATACCAGTAGAATAGAACAGAAAATTCAGAAAATAAGTGGTTTGGGGAAAGTGAATAAATCATGAGGACGTTAGCCTACTGATAAGTTCAATAGCTAAATATGATTTGAGAGGTGAAACCTGGTTGAAGATGGTATATCACTGGAGGCGTGGCCTGGAAGGGAATATCACCCTCCCTCCTCCTCCCTTGATCTCTCTCTGCTTCTCACCACCTTGTCATGAGTTGTTTCTCCTCTGCCATGATGCCCAGCCCACTCTGGACTGAAACCTCTACAAACCGTGGGCCAAATAATTCTCTCCTCCTTTAATTTGTGGGTGTCAAGTATTGTGTCTCAGCAATGAGAAAGTAACTAGGACAATAATTGAAAGATAATAAAGCTGGAAATCTTTAGCTGACACAAAGTTGTTCTTGATAAAATAAGTGGGCTGTGCTCCATCAGAGATACTGTGTTTTTTAATGACAAATTTGTTATTTTGAAAATTTACTGATAAAATTGCATATATTTATAGTGTACAATATTTTTAATATGTATACTTTATGGAATAACTACAGCAAGGTAGCTAACATCTACATTGTGTACTTATCACACACTTATCATTTATTTGTGGCAAGAAAACAAAAGCTATTGTTAGCAGTTTTAACTAGTTAATACTTTGTTATTAACTATGGTCACTAGGTTGTACAAGAGATCTCTTGAATCTATTCCTCCTTTCAGGCTGAAATGTCCTGTCCTTTGACCAACTACAGCTATTGCTCTTTATCTGGATCTTATCTGCATGGTTGACAGCCAAGTGCCATCACCATTCATGCAACTTCCTTTCCCAGTCCCTTGGGAAGCCCTGCAGCCGTCACATAATCTGAGAGCAGGTTCTACATCTCTCCCCTCCTTTCTTCCCACAGGCTATTTCTACTCTCTGCTCAGAAGACTGAAAGGTGCAGCTGGATCCTTACTCAATGTGCCTCTCTTTGAAAGGAATGGAATGGAGGATATTAGGGGTTTTGTGGACTCACCCATGCAATCCCTGTGGACTCACCCATGCAAGGACTGAGCTAAGGGCTGAACCAAGCTGGTCCCCTATTTTACTTCTGAGTTTTCTGAATTTTTATGGATTCTTCCATAGTGTCTGGTATTTGATGCATATTTCATTAGGGCCCTTTTTACTTCTATAAGTGGGTAATCACATTCCTGAAGTATTGAAGGTGAGCAATTCTTGAGCAGAGTTTTAACCTTCCATTTAAAGTCAGAATCCCTTTATTGAGTTTAAAGTTCCTCAAATACTGTAGTAAGAATTGCTTTTAGAAAATTGATACATTTTTGCCTTTGTTTTGATTTATGGTAGAGACAGAAATTAATCGAAAATATTGGAAAATTTTTATTTTAATGCCTTTTAAATTCATATCTTCCAAAATTAATTCTATAGACAATGACATGGAGTTCTTAATAGGAATTGCAAGCCCTAATATGCAGTCACAAAGTTACGTTTGTAGTCTATAGTCAGTGTCTCTTCTAATTGATTATTTCTTCCACTGTACTGGTTGTTAAGATATAATACTTGATGTTTTATAAAAAGAACACCCAGAGTGATAGTCAAAATATGTGTGAGAAAGGAAAATTCTTTGCGAGAATTTTTAAAAATCAAGCCTGTCTCTCTGCTGCAGGACTTAGAGACTTTAATATGCTATGTTTGGAACACTCTAAGTGAATGATTTTAGATGATAGGGGGAAGAATTCCCCAAATTTACTGGAATTCACAGCCCATTTTAATGGAGAATCACTTGTAATTAATACCTTAAAATAAATTCTGGAGGACACTACCTTACATATTTAAGTATTTTAATTAATTCTTTAGTGTTTTCTAAAAAAGAAAATAATGACTAACAGTTTTCAACACTACTAATTTTAGACAAAGTATTTAGCTATAATTTTCTTTTTAAATATATCTTCCACATTTTGTCATAGATAAAAACTTTCATTTATTTGTAGATGTAGGTTTTAGAAGGTCCTTAAATATTAAGAAAGATATTGGCTAATAGATGAATCTATGCTTTATTCCCCCTTGACTGACAAATTTGGAGTATTCAGTTATTTGAACTTAAAATTAGGTATATTTTTAAGTGAATACATGCATACATATAGAAATCAAAGACTTTGATGTCTCTGTGCATTTTAATCATGAAAACATTACGAACTTCATATTGAAAGCAAACATAACAACAAAGGTTTTTGTGGAAATCTGTAAAACTATAATATTAAGAAGACAGGAGGAAGATAAATACTCTCTTTAAAGTGTGGCTGGGTCTACCCAACAAAAAACATGTAAATACATGCCAAAAAGTTCAATTTATCATCAATATTACTATCACTAGAGTTTTTACTTTCATCTTTTTATGCAAAAACATTCAGGACTATTTGTGGACACTTTTCTAATTCTTATTTCAGAACATTCCCTTCCCTAGGTTTTAAATCTTCTTCTATCTGTCCTCAAATTAATGAATAAATTAACATCCCATTGCCCATGTGTCTGCCTTTCATATCAACCTTTACCTCTTTAACCTCAATTTTAGACAGCTTTTCAAACTACTCCTATAAACTGGCTACTTTATTGTTGGGACATTGCTTTCTTCTTATGTTATAGGACTCACTAATTTCTTTGGATATGAACATTCTCTTAACCCTTTTGGTTTTAGCAGCAATTTATTTGCTTTTTGTCTTAGTCAATTTAGGCTTCTATAACAAAACACCATAAACTGGGTGGCTTCTAAACAATGGAAATTGATTCCTCACAGCTCTGAAGGTGGGGAGCCAAGATCAAAGTGCCAGCCAATTCAGCATGTAGTGATTGTCCTCTTCCTGGGCCACAAGTGGTGTCTTCTAGCTGTGTTCTCACATGGAGGGGTCACAGGTCTCTCTAGGCCTCATTTTTAAGGGCACTAATCCTGTTTACAAAGTTATTGCCCCCATTACCTAAGCAATTCTGAAAGGTACAACCTCCTAATACCATCACATTGGTGACTCGTGATCAACAAATGAGCAGATGTTTGAGAAGATACAAATATTCCGACTATGCTACTGCTTGTTCTCCAGGCTTTGTCTTTAGTCCCAGGCTCATAGGACCCAAGTAAGTTCCAAAGATACAAAAGAGACAAACTTGTCTAACTGCTGCCATCATGATCAAAGGTCAAATTCACCAATCCCATGTGGAACTTTCCCATGAGGCAAATTGCAATTTGAAAATTGGAGAACTAGATTTATTAGAGAGATACCAAAATATCAGCAATTATTATTTCTTTCATAGACCGAAAGTCAAGGGGTAGACAACAGTACGCCAAAGGACATCACGGACCACTGAGTGGGCGTGGTCTTGGGGACAGTGTGGAGGAAAGACCCTCTCCGTGGAAAGCGACCACTGCCAGGTGAGCATAGGCAGATAAAAGGGGGTGGAGAACAGAATGGGAAAGCTTTGGAGGGCTGTGAAGTAAATTCCCCCCTTCTCTAACCAGAGCATGTTGGACTCGCCATACCCTCCCTCCCCCACGGACCCATCCAGATGGAGTTCTGTGACATCACAGCCCCTCTGCCCACCCAGGGCTTTGATTGGCTGTTGACTTGCTGACCAAAGAAATCCCAAGGGCGTGGCCACCTCAGGGACAGGTATAGAAGGGGGAGGGTTCAGGCCCACATGGGGCAGAACGCTGCGAGGAGCTCCCAGGAGAAGCAGGGCCAGGTAGCCAGCAGGGCGGAGCACAGGACCTAGGACCAGGCTGAGAAAGAAGAGAAGAGCAATTTCAGTGCCTAAACTGAAGGGAAAGGTGAGTTGACCTCCAAGCTCCTCCCGTTGTCCCCCTTGACAGCCCTCCCAAGAGGCCTAAGGTCCCCACACTGTACCCTCCGGATTGCATTAGTAACTCATCTTTATTTCAACATTGTGCTTTTCCACATTATCTAAAATTTCTGCAAATTTTACTTCATCAGACAAAAATCAATAAATGTCATTGACCTTGTGAGGACCATATGAAAAACTTCCTCACCTCCAGAAAGGAAAATACTTCTGTTTCCTCTTGCCTCCTGTTACAGTTTGTGTTTAGATGTCCCCTCAAAGCCTCATGCCATCACAGGTAGGGCTTTTTCAGAGATGACTGAATCTAGAGTGTGTGATGTTAGAATTAAGGGTGGGTGATTACTAAATCAGTGCACTGATTTGGCTTGGCACTGCCCTAATCCTAAGCCTAGGTAGAGTATGAAAGGGGCAGAAAGAAGCTGCTAAGGTCCCTTGCTTGCTTTGCTACCTTCTGCCTGCCATGAACTGTTTCTCCTCTGCAAGCCCTGTCTGCCATGCCACCCTTCCTTGGAGCCAGCCAATTATGGACTGAAACCTCTACAAACTGTGAGCTAAATAAATCTTTCCCCCTTTAACTTTGGGTGTTGGTTATTCTGTCTCAGCAATGAGAAAAGTGACTAAGACACCTCCCCTCACTCTGTCTTACTTTTCCTGTTGTACTCTTTGTAGTCTTAGTGTTGGCAAATACTTCTACTTAAATAGCAACCAATTACTTGTTAGCAAGACATTGAAAGGCATTGATATTTTTCTAGGAGGACTGGATGAAGTAGATGGGTTCAAAATAGAGTATTGTCCATATTCAAAGCATTTGTAACTCTCCAGGAAAGACAGAAATAGAATAATTACAAGGTAATATGCAGTAGTAAAAACTATAGACAGAAACATGTGGTATATGCCATAATAGCTTAGGTGCTCAGAGAATGAGATCTTTCTCCTTCCCCAACATGATTTCTGTACTTTCTTGAGTCTATAAATCACCAAAGGAGGTTGTTAAAAGTACAGATTAATGAGCTCACCCAAAAAAACTCAGAATCTAGAGAAATTGTCTAGAAATTTGCATTTCCCAGATGGTTCCTATTATTACCAGAGTTTGAGAAACCACAATTTACAGTGATCAGGTAAGATTTCAGGATTGCTAGAACATGAGAAAAGCATTAAACAATAGGCAGAAATTAGGTGGAGAGTTCAGTGGGCAAGTGCTTAGGGAGGCTTATTGGAAAAAATAGAACCTGGGTTCCAGTCCCCATCAGTTGGGAAAGAGCTATTTATAACAACTAAATGAGCTCTGACAATCATTGCAAAAGAAACATTTTATGAGATGTTTTACCCTATAATACCACATTTTCTGAGTAATGAAATTAAAATGAGTTTAAATGAAATGTCCACTTCTCTTTTTCTAGAATGGCATGCACTGTGTTCTACCCTCTAACCTTTTAAAGATTTGTCACACAGCTTTTTAAATGAATGCTGAAGTCAAGAAGGTACCTTGTTAAATTCATTGGCTGAACCATGAGAAGCTATCATACACTTCCATCCATTTACATTAAATTCAAACCACCAATCCCCATATAATTTTTTTCTGCTTTCCCTATAGGATTAATGTAAATCATGGGAAATAATTTGCAAAGAAGGCTATTTAAAATTGCAGCAGAGCAGTTCATTTGGCACTATAATTCACTTTGGTGTAAAATTCAATTATTACTGACAAATAAAGGTTAGTAACTTAATCATTATATGGAACAGACATATGGGTGAAGAACAAGTAAATTAGGGGATTCCTAAGTCTTTTAATATCTACCCCCCCAGTGATACTAAAGGATTTTCAAATCCTGTGAGAGCTTTCAAAAAAAATTCTCATCTCTCTTATTCTTGGATAGAATTCTTCCCATCAGTTTGTTTTCAAAGTAATAAATGTGTAAATACATGCCATAAGTTTATGTATTTGCACAACTCTGTAGTGATTTTGAATCCAGCCTAACTATTCAGAAAATTTGGTCTTGATTTTTCCCCTTCTGGCAGAGACCAGAGAGAAAACCACAGCCCATTTGTTGGAAGCCCTAACATCTGCTGATATGTCAGTTTTGTTTAGTTAAAATGGATTCATGTTGGTGAGGAAAGGGCCATTTAGAGATGGCAGCACTGGAGAAGATTAGTGCTACTTTTACCAACATTAACTCCCCTGCTTTTGCATTAACTGTGATACACTTTGTACCTGAGGAAACCACCATGCCCAGGATCTGGAATATCAGAGGTTTCCATAAATCAAAATGAATACCAAGGGGGAGGTTGGGTGTGACAGAGGCCACGGGCTGGGGTGCTGTACACATGGGGCAAACCAGGCTCTGTCTCCTGCCTCCGTGTGTCCTGCTGAGCTGGAACTGAGCCCTAGTTCTGATGAGCAAGCAGAAACTATAAAGAGATGGAATTTGTCCTTCCTCTCATTACAGTTCCCCACTTTGGGTAGTTAGTATGCATTTAATCCATTCATATTTGTACTGGAATCCACAACTCTAGCCAGACCCAAAGGACTGCTACTAAAGAGGTTTCGCAGCTCAGCATTTTTCTTATTTTTATTTTTTGCACTAAAGAGGAAAGTTGGACAACCAGTTTATAAAATGCTGACAGAAATACACAATAACTTAGAGAGTTTCCATGCACAGTCTTTAAGATTAACTGCCCTACGTCTCCTATTATTGTTTCATCTCATCCTTCTGAAACGGCTCACCATGTACAGAGATGTTGTAAAGGTATAGTGAGCAATGAATTATTTTCAAGCAGTATAAGCATGGTGATAAACCTTTTAAAACTTGTATCTATAGAGCGGGCACTTCAGAAGGTAAATAGGTATAATAATACATCTATGGGGTTCCCCCCTCTCCCCGCCCTTCGTGTATTTCTTTTCAAATTGAAGAAAGCCTGACTAGGTAGCTGGCCTTTAAGCCTTCAATTAATTGAACAAAGATTTAAAAATTGTTCAATTGGTTTCATTAGGAAGTGTACAATGAAATAATAAAGTAAAACAAATGATATAAAGCAGAGCCACTAATTAGCTCTACATGATTGATATAGCTTTGGACCAGCCGTTTGATCTCAAACAAAATGCAGTTCCTTGTTAAGAGGATTTTTAATTGATGTGCAGAGAGGTATTAGATGATGTTGGAAAATAATTACTCCAAAGCTATTCATGCATTTGGCTGAACATAACAAATGAAGTTTGGGCCCTGGATCTGGCGAAGTGGACACGTGCTAATTAATAATGAGAAGAACAAGCATCTTCCAGGCGTTTTTAACCCAGTATTTGCTAGGAGATTGCTGAGCAATTATGTGCCATAATGAGGTTGTCATATAAACAAGATCAACATTACTCAGATGTCAGCTGAGATTTCAAATTCATGCAACCCATATGTATTTTCTGGTTGTTATAGATTATATCGTGAAGCTAACCAATCAAGATTGTTGCTCAAAATTCAGGTATGATTAAGAAAACATCATAATGAGATAGCAAATCTTTGCTATTTTCTGATAGTTGAATTAAGACTCTCCCCTTAAAATAAATAAACAAGTACTTGAGCTCATGTCAAAGCACAATCTATTTTAAAAAGAAAAAAGGAAAAGAATTTTTCTCAAAGATATGAATATTGACTAGGGTAAATATGCTCTTCATCTCTAAAAACTTGATGAACATATGCACTAAGTTACACATAATTTGTTAAATCTGACAAGAACGTTAAATTAGCATTTGGTTGGTCTTGGCCAAATTCCTTGCTCAGAAAAATGTGTGCATATTGACATGAAATTAGAGGGACTTATGGGTGAATTTCTGAAGGCAGAATTTGTCTTTCTTTGTTTTATGTGAGGCTGCACCCCCCATAATGGAAAGAAAAGTTAATTTGGGATATCTCATCATAGTCAAATGTAGCTGATTTGAGTATGTTAGATAACTTAGTTTAAACTGTAATAAGGGAAACTTAGTTTGGGTGTGAATTAAAAATAGTGGATAATTGTTTAATATTTCAACTTACTTTTGCAGTGTATACACTCAGTATCAGTAACCAATTTAATGTGTCTTTTTAAATGTTTATTTTACTCAATTATTCTCTATAAATTCTTAAAGTTCTCTACTACCATGCTGGAAGCCACATTTTCCCATTCAATGGTGGCATACATGAATTTTAAAGACTTTTTACATTCTTGTCAGATCAAAAAATATATGTCTGTTGGGTATATTTATTGTGTAGATTTGTAAGACATTGGGAAAGAGAATGAAGTCAGAAATAGAGGAATTCTAGACTCTGACTAATTTCTTGATTTTTTTTTTTTATGAAGCTTTACTGTTCATCCTAAGTCATATACCATTCCCTTCACCTGGAATGGTACCTATTTAACCTTCACTGAACAATTAATCCCCTAATTAAAGAGGGATGTGAGGGTTTATTTACGAAGGTTCTTTTCCTGAAAGCATAGGTTTTAAGACACTGTGATTCTGTGTTTATTCTTTGACACAGTTAACCTTAATTTTCTTGGTTATTTAAATTTATTTCTTTGCTACTCAATATTTGATTTTTAAAAGTTAATAAATTATTTTATTTGCTAACAGAAAACTCATTAAATGGTATAGTGATTAGGAAAGGAAACTAAATTCTCAGATTAATTGATCAGTCCTCCCCCTTAATTGTATAATCTGTAGGACAATGAAGAGACTAGATGAAAAAGGCCCTAAGCCTAGTGATTCTCTTGGCTGCATGGGGGCAATGGAGCCTGTAGTAGGAGCAGAAAGAGGCTACAGAATGCTGCAAGAGAGCGGACAATCTTCTCTGTCATTGGGATCAGATGTTGACCACATTGCTATGACCTGGAGGATTTGTAGGGCTGGGTGAGGTGTGAAGGAATTCTGGTGGCCAATGTGTGTTTTTTCCTCCAGAATGAATGAACTAACATGGCTGCATGGCTGCCTAGTTCTATGGACACAAACAAAAGTGAAGGAATGGAAACACAGAGTAAGTTGGCCTCTCTCCAAGGACAAGTCGCTAGTTTTGATATGTGAATTTGGAGATATCTAAGTAGAGCTTGAGAAGGCCCACTTCTCATGGATTAATCATGAAGCCATCCAAGTAAACACTGAAGAGCAAAAAAGAACAAGCAAAATCTCTGGAATCTAAGTGAAAGGTTGGGTCTATCTTAAATGTGACCATTGATTGCATCATAACACTGGCTAGAGGAAATTCTGTGGATGTTTAGTGACTAATTACATAGATCATTATTCTGCACAATGTTAAGTGAAAGGAGAGTTACTGAAAAATGTAATTACAAATTATAACCATGTTAAATAAGTGAATACAAATAAGACTAGATGGAAATAAACCAGAATACCAACGTTGGTTTTGTTAGAGTGCTGAGATTATGGGTCATTTATCCTTTCTTTTCCAAAAGGTTATGTTTTTCAAATTATTTTTAATGAACTTTTTTTAAAAGAAAAGAATGTATTATGCTACTTTCAGGGCAAAAGTGAGACAGCTTCTGGAAGAGCACTATTATTCCCACTTTTCTACATATCTAGAAACTCCAAGCAGACTGAGATTGCTCTACTATTTTATGACATCAAAGAATGCCAGAGTGTATTGTCACCCCCACTTAGGAGAATGGGTCATCTTTTCTATGGAGTTATTGGATGAAGAGTGGATGGGTTAGTTTCTTCATTTCCACATTGAGCATACCTGCTTAACAGGCAAGCTATTTCTTCAGGAGACCCTAGTCTTGGCAGCACCAGGCAAATTTGGTTGCCCATGAAAGGAGCAATGGTCTAAGGTCACTGCCTATGGTATACTTCAAAGCTTTTGGTTCCTATCCAGTACGATATGCAGCCTTGATGAGATTTAAAATAGCTCTTAAATGTACTTGAAGAGTCAAAAAATGTACTCTCCTTTGTGCATGAAAGATTGTGGAATAAGTATCTTCCATTGTGCAAGAAAGGGTGCTGGAAAGATGAAGTTTCTTTCTGAACATCCCTTAAAAATCAGACTTTACAACTTAGTGACTCTCAAACCCAGGTCTCAGCATCAGCATTCCCTGGGAACTTGTTGGAAATATAAAATCTTAGACTTCATAAATCTGAAACTCTGAGTGTGGGGCCTGACAGTCTGTTTTTCTAAGACATCTGAGGGACTGAGTTCAGCATCTTAAAATCTGAGAGATATTGACACAACTGCAATGGCAAAGGGCATACTTTTGAGCCAACTGCTTGTGTTTAAATTTCTATCACTAGTAGGGTAAATTTGCTACAAGAAAGAAGTCAATGGGAAGATGATATGGAATGTGAAGAATTCCCATGAGCCTGTTCACTGAGTAAAGAAAGCACATGTGAAGAATTTGAATCATTTTGAACTTTATTTACTCTGGATGGACTGTTCTTTGATCACTCTTAAACTAGACCATTTGTGTTATAGTTTTGTAAGTGTGACATTTATAAAGGAAAAGAGTTGTAGAATATTTTATTTTATGACGCAAAACTGTGTCATGGTTTTCCATGAGTAGTTATACTCCAACTATGCTGGAATGTTGGAAAGAGAAAAGTTCACACATTAAAACCACCCAGAAAGGGTGGGAAAACAGAAGGAAAAATGACTGGGCAAGAGGATCTATAAGAAACGCAGGTAACTGTCTGGGAATGGAGAGATGGAAATGTTCCTGGAGAGGGACTGGTGATCACAAACTTGTAGCAAACAACTGAGAAGTGAGTACTGTAGTTTAAACTGTGTCTCCATTCTAATTTTGTACCCATCCCTTTCATATGGGCAGTGGCAGCAGGGCCAGCTACATAATTTGCAAAACACAGTGAAAAATGAAAACACATGTTGTTCAAAATATAGAAAAACAGTGTTGTTATTGGTACTAAAATATAAAGATTTTCTTTATTATGCAGTCTGTCTCTTGACTTATCAAGATAATTTTATTTGCTATTTAATGTTTTAAATAAAGAAAAATTGAAATTTTATGCTGTTAACATGGATTTCACTGTTTATCTTAATATGTGCAACATTGTTTTAAATGCAAATATCGGAATTTAAGTGCAAATATTTAATTCCTATGTGGAATCTCTGAATTTACTCCATCCATGTGAATCTGCATGTGCGTGTGTGCGAGTGTGTGTCTTTTCTCTAGTGGGTGCCTAATGCTAGCCAGAAAAGACAGAAACAGGCAGATTCAGTAGTGTTAGGAGAAGAAAGAGAAGATTCCTCACAGCACCAAGGTAGCTGAGGGAGTGACCTTCCTGAACAGCATTCTCTAGGGGTGAATGTTGGCCCTAGAGGCCTCTGGGAGACCCTGGCTTACAAGTGCAGGAACTGAAGACACTCAGGCTTGACAACTCCTGGATTCCTTCACCTGACAGGAGCTAGATTTATTTGACAGATCTCAGCCAGTGTGTGAAATTAAGCCAGGAATTTACCTTTCCTATTGACTTACTGGTCTAACCCATGGCAAATGGCAACATCCACCCTAGTGGTGTACTATGTACCTGGATGGGAGTGAGCAAAATGCAGAATGTGCAGTGCCCCTATCTTGGGCAACTTTGACCCTCCTAGGCCCCTCTGCAAGTGGCAGACATGGGTAGAAGGCAATCATAGTCCTTCGATGTAGGAAGTGAAGAGTGTAGCTAAGTGGGGCTGAGTGTTCTAGGAGGCAGGGGCAATTTAGGGAAGCTATAGGAGCTGAGGCTACAAAGAAGCCCAGGCTGCAACTTTTCCATCTCCTTTCCATCTCCTTGATCTCAGGCTCCACTTGTCCCGCCGGACTGCTCTTAAAAAGTCTATTATCATTAAGGATCTCAAGGCATCAAAGCAGAATATTAAATCACAAGTATGGGGCCCCTCTGAGCCTTAGGCAACTGTGCTGTCACTTTTCCACGAAGCCAGCTCTCCTGTGATGGATGTGGTGAACCATGTAGCAAGATGCCATGGGGAAAAAGTGGCTTGACCTGTGTCATTGTATTTATTGTATCTAGCCTGTATTTGAGGAGGACTGGGAACTGATAAAATGAATTTGAATTTGATTAAATGTGGCTGAAAGTTTGGTCAAGCATCTTATTGAAACCATTTATTTACTGAGTTGCTTTGTCAGATCAAGGACTTGATTCAGAATCAAGAGTTCTAAAACATCATACTTTTCATGCTTCCCCTTGGCTTATAAGAATGCAGTTTCTTACTGGTATGGAGAAACATCTCAACTTGAAACTATAAGGGAAAAAGCACAAACCTTAATGATTTAAGAGTATGTAGATGCTCAAAATTCCACTGGATAGTGTGACAACTTTATATTCATTTCTCATGCTCATCTTCCTTGGAATTTATGATTGTGTATGTGTGCATGCGTGTGTGTGCGTGTGTGTGTGCATGTGTGTATGTATGACTGAAGTAGATTTATCTCAAGGGATTCTCCGTACAAATCATGTTTTAAGCTTTAGTACAATTTCACTGCTTACAACACTCATGGCATATAATAAATGCCCAATTAATATTGTTGAATGGAATTTTGTGAAGTGACGGTATCAGCACTACCCAGACTGTTTAGTCTACCCAGGCTCAGCAGGGATTGCAAAGTAATCTCAATGCTTCTGGCTCAGTAGGCAAATTCAGGCCAACATTTACACCACAATCTTTTTAATGAAGCAGCTAAAATCAAAGCCAGGTGCTTCCCTTGGTGATTCAAACCTAGAGTCAGAAGCAAGGTGTACAAAGATCAAAGTCCCAACTGTCATAGTGGGTGATAAGTTGGAACCAGGATCCACAAGCTTCCTTTTTTATTTGAATTGTTGTAACATTCCCTCCAACACCCTCTCGCTTTTTTCTTTTTGCAGGTGCTTCATTGGTTCAAATTAATCCAATGTTTCCATGTTGAATGAAGTATCTTAAATTTCTCCCAGGAACAGTATGGGTTTCAGTGTAAAGTCTATTTCATTGACTAAAAAGTCAAACTATTTCTCAGGACTTCCCATGAGGGATAATAATTCAGTTTGCCAAATACTCTTATTTTAATTGGCTTGCTCCCCCTGACTCTGTCCTGGCACTGTACTTGTAATTATGCTTTTGTATAAGTTTCATTGAATGAGTTTTGGAATATTCATGCTCATTTCTTAAAAGAGGCTATATTTCACTAAGGGTCATCAATGAAAAAATTCTGTACCTTTGGTCCTCTCCTGAAAAAGAAACTCTTGAGTGTTTGCTGTGTGTCAGAAAAACTGCAGATGTTCTTTGACCCTTCACTGCAGCCCCAAAAGAAACATGAAGCTAATGCCATGATGGTCCCAGAGGCACATGGAATTCAGAGTCGCACAGCTCATGTGTGCCAATGGGATGATGGGAACAGTAGTCACTGGACTCCAAACCTGCTACTGTGGACCCTGTGCTCTCTTGCTTCAACTTCTTTTTCCAAGGGAACACAGCTTTTGCTTCCTTTTTCCCTCAAGAAAAGAGACCTCCTCCCTGCCCTGTGCACCTTTGGGGCCATGGTTTCTGTTTAGACTTTTCCCTCTCCAATGGCCTCCTTTCTTCAAATTCCATCCTTCACCATTATGATGGCTTCCCTTCCTATTAGAATCTCTGTAAAGGAGAAAGGTGAGAAGAGAACAGGTTGTATTCTCTGCTAACTCATCTTCTCACTCCTCTAAGGCTCCTTCCTGTTTTCTCTGCAGTGAGTCACTTACTTTGAATACATAACATCTTTGCTGAGCAGGATTTCAGCAATTTTTACAGCCCTGTTTTGTTTTTTTTTCTTTACACAAATGGATTCTTTCCCTTCTGGGTGTGTTAGATTAACTGGACCATAGCATACAACAACATTAGAATTCTGACCGGGGTTTGTCCAGATAGAGTAACTGGTACCTAAAGAATGAATCATTCTCTTGAGTCCAAGGTGGACCGTCCATAAGTACTTTGACATAGTTGCTTAAAGCAATTTTCAGCTTTTGCCTGCTGTTGTCACCCAGTATCCATGCAACATAATTAGAAAGGACAATTATCAATCCCATGAGAATACGTGGCAGAGGCAGAAGTAGAACTCAGGTCCTGGGCTCTATCCCTCCTCCAAGAGAAGCTGCCTCCACCCTGTCCTCTGCCTGTCATTGTGACCTCTCTGATCCTTCTTTGATCTGTCATTCTCTGCACTTTCTCATCTTCATACCTCTTTGAAATAAAAGCAAAGTGAGAAAAATAAATTTATAGTAAAAACAAATTGTACAATTCTGAGAGGCTTTTTTCTGTCAATATTTTGGTATCTTGTTTAATTATTTTTTAATGTTTGTGCAGTTGTCTCAGTGTCTTTTTGCTGTGAGCCTGTATCAATATTTTCTGTTGTAGAGGGCAAGTTCCTGGAGAGAGAGAGGATTGTGTCTATTTTTCTTTTCCAGGCCCTCACAAAACACCTAAACTATGGGGTTATTTTACAGAATTTCCTTGATGATGAATTTTCTCTTCCTGACCACCCCCTCACAGTTTTGTTCTATTTCTTTTAGAGAAATAAAGAAATTGCTTAACTCTAGGCAATATTTGTTTTTCTTTGAAAACTCCCAGATAGCTGAAGAGAAAGGGAAAGCTACCAGGAATGTGAAGTGGGAGGATGGTACATGGATAGTGCTTGAGAAACCTAAAGAGACCATAGCTCCCCAGGTACATAAGGAAGGGAATCTCTTTTCTTGGGGAAAAGAAGCAGAAAGCTATGTTTCTTTGGAAAAGGTAAGAAGCTGAGGTACAGGGACCACAGTAACACTTTTGAAGTTGATCTTCTGTCTGCTACAAATCAGCTGTGTGACTCTGGGTAGCTAGTCCAATTTCTCATCCTTCTGAGTACTTTGCTGATAGTACTGTCTATTAACAAGTCACTCACAGTGCTGCTGTGAAGGGCCAATAAGATACCACCTATAATGTTTCTGTCTCTGCTACAAGATACCCAACACTCACAACTTTGAGGAGAGGTTTGTTTGGGTCAGAGTTTCAGGGAATTCAGCCTATGATAGCTGCTTCCAAGGCAGCAACATCATGCAGAAGGGTAGAGTGGAGCAAAGCTGGTTAGTTCATGGCAGCCAGAAAGCAGAGAAGGGAAACAGTGCCAGAGAGGAAGGAAGATATAGGGTCCCAAGTTCAAACCACCTTGACCCATCCAGAAATGTGTTCTACTAATCCTCTAGGTGGCTCCCAAGGCAATCAAGTTGACAATTAAGCTTAACTATCATGGGACAGATGGGGCACCCTGCCATGCCTCCTAAAGCTGGGGCAGACTATACTTGAAAGTTAGCAAGGAGAGTAGGCTAGTCTCTGGTTTTCAGTGAGGCCTCTGATGGCTCAATACTTCAGAAAAGAAACAACATTTTGTGAAAGAAGAAGGAAGCCATTTTGCAAAGATGTACTTGCAGCTCATCTATGTCTGAGGAACAGCTGAGTTTCCATCAAGGCAGAGGGGCCTTGAGAGAGCCAGTCCTGATCTGTCACCATCTTCTTGATTAGACCGCGGTCCCTGTGGGTGAAGCCAGCCAGGTGAAGAGGCATCTCCAGTTTCTTCCCACTGACATGTTTGATGCTGACCAAAGGTGGAGTGACTAGGAAAACCAGATATCTTCTACCTTCTTCCTTCCCCCCTCCCTTCTTTCTAGTCCTATAGCCTTGATTTCTTGCTTCCTTCATTTATTGAGCAAAATAATGTCCAAGGTATTGTGAAAGGGGCTAAGAAGACATACAAAAACAACTACAACAACAACAAATATGTATCTATATCTATATAGATCTATCTATCTCTAGCTCTCTCCATATAAATATATAGAGATCTATATAGATATAT